TGTAGGGCGAGGCGGGTGTGCCGTAGGGGCAGGCGCCGGGGGACATGGCCGAGTTAAGCGAGGAGCCGGTGAGGTTGTTGATGTTGTTGAGACCCGAGTTGGGCATGCCGGGCACGGCGCCCGGGCCCATGCTCGACGGCATGGTCATGGAGGAGATGGAGCTGGGCGCCGAGAACATGGACTGCGAGGACAGCGGGCTCATGGAGTTGAAGAAGGTGAAGCTCTTGGTGGAGAGCGGCGCGGGCGCCAGGCTCTTGGCGGCCCAGTTGTTGTAGGAGTAGCCGGCGGCGTACACGTCCTCGTAGGGCTGCACCAAGCCGCTGAACTGCGGCACGTAGCCGCCCTTGCACAGGTCCAGCTGCTGGTTGCGCTCGCGCTTCCGCCACTTGGCCCGCCGGTTCTTGAACCAGACCTGGGGGAAGGGGCAGGACAGGGGTCAGGGCCGCGGCGGGCGGGAAGCCGCCCCGCCTCCCGCCCGCGCTCCGCCGCCTTCTCGCCGAACTTCGCCGCGTCTCTTCCATATTCCCGCCCCTGCCTGTTCTCCGTAATGGTGGCTTTCCTGTCCGCTGGAAAAATTAGTCTTTTCCTTTTTCTGATCTTTATCCTGTTCCCCAAGTTAAATCCGTTTTCTTCTAATACAGATCTTTTGTTCGAACAAATACTCGTTTTCTCTTCTTTTCTCAAGCAGCCTATCCTCTGCTTTCTTCCCCAAACGGGTCCCCATCTGTCTCCTGAATAGCCCGTCTTTTCCCTTCTCCCTCGGATACAGAAAATACTTTTCTGCCCTGAAACTTAGGATCTCCCTCCTCCCCCTTCTCCCATCTGTTGTTCACTCCTCCTACGGTCTCTTTCCATCTTTATTGGCAGTATTTGATACTCTCATTTCTGTCCCAAATGTCTATTTCATTTGGTCCACCCGCTGTTTGACCCACTTTCTTCTCGAACAGCCCATTTTTCTTCCTTATCCCCCATTTTGATCCTTTTGATCAAATATTTAGTTTTTTTTCCTTCTTTCCAAATATCTGACCTTCGCTGTTCCTCTTAATAGTTGATGCTTTATTTTCTCAGCTACTTGATTCTTCTGCTTCTCCCTTAAATATTTCATTTCTTCTCTGCCTCCTAAGTATATGCCAAAGATGTGTGTCTGCAAATATTTAATTTCCTTTCACTTCATACTAGTTTCTCTCTAATCTCCCCCTCCGCTTCTCCCACAGAATTTAGTAAAAACCTCTTCTTTCCCCACTCCTGGTGCTTGCGGACCCTCGCCCCTCTTCCCCGCCGAGTGCCCTCTGCCCTCCCCAGCCGCGCTCCAGCGGGGGGCTGAGTTTCCCCAGCTACTCGCCAGGCCCTGTATCTCAGCCTTCTCCAGTCGCCGGCACCGACTCTGCCCGATTCCACCCCTCAACCCTCCATAAACCCGGGCAGGATTAGTGAGTTCAGGGTTACTGAGTGCTGTCTTCACTCTGGTCCCACCGGGCTGGCTGGCCTGACCGGGGAGTGAGAGCTGGGGTTATGGCAGGGAGTCCAGGTGGGACTTTGGTCTGGCTTGGGATGTGCTCCCGATACGATTAAACATTTGCGTGCCAGAGAAGAAATAATTTTCTCCCTGCTCTGGCAGGAAAGCCTTGCTTTTACTGGGAACGAAAGGGTGAGGAGAAATAGGGTGCTGTCTGGTCTTGATCAGAAATCTTGTTATCTCCAAAGGGACTCGGCCTGATGGTCACTTATCCACCAGAGCCGCTTCCCTCTGCCCCTGACCCCAGCCCTACAGGAAACGGAATTAGGGAAAGAGCCCAGCTACTGACTGGTTGAATGGCTGGGGACAAGTCAGGTGGAGAATTCCAGACATTTTGGAGAAGCGGTAAGGATGGGACCACCGTCCCAGGAATTTTTGAGATCCCGGAGCCTAGGCACCTTTCAGGCCACTCACAGGCTGCCAGGCAGAATCAGCCTTTCCCTTTCGTTTTTGGGGAAGGCTCCAGCAGCTCTGAGGTCTCCAGCCGAGGGGACCCGTCAGCGCCGTCTAGGGTGGTCCCATCCGAGTAGGCCCTGGGCCCTACCGGGCGTGGAAAGTTTCCTGGGGCCACAGGTCTTGGGGCTGAGGCTGTGGTAAAGCCGGAGGGTCAGGTAGGATGCGGGTCAGAGGGATCCAAAACGGCAGCTGCCGAGGGCGCTAGCGGCCAAAGGGCTTGGCAGCAGCTGGGCAGATGGGGCCTAGGGTGGAATCTGCTACGATGGAGAGAGGGAGCAGGTCCCCAGGGCTGCGGCCGAGGCAGCGCCGACTGCTGTCTGCCCGCGCGCCGACTCACCCTCACGCGCGGCTCCGTGAGGTTGGTCCACACTGCGATCTCCTCCCGCATGCTCATGTCGGGGTAGCGGTTCCTTTGGAACGTGGCCTCCAGCTCTTGCAGCTGCTGGCTTGTGAAGTGCGTGCGTTGCCGCCTCTGCTTCTTCTTCTTGGCGGGGTCCTCCGCACCTCCGCAGCCCGCGCCGCCGGCACCGCTGTCCTCGGGCCCCTTCGGTTCCCCGCTGCGCTCCTTCTCTGAAGCAGGCAGGACAGGGCGCCCGTCACTTTGGGCTTATGCCCTTTTGTACCCATCCCGGCTCCATCGAAGAACCCGCCATCAGCGCTGGCGACCCTCCCTCCCGCCAGGGGCCCTGGAATTGTCCCCACCGGGAAGAGCCCGCCCGGTGCCTGGTGGTCAGTAGCCATCTCTGGTCTGGGGTGCCTGGAGCAGATAGAGCCCAGGAGCCGAGCTGCAGGCCTGGGCTCCTGGCAGGGCAGGGCCTGCTCTCCCAGCTTGGCTCATGCTTGAGCCCAACTGCTAAAGTCAGCGCAAATGTACGATTTTTAAGACTTGGTCTAAATTTGAGGGAGGTCTCTACTTTTCTGAACTAGGATAGAATTTTTCTAGCCTGAAGCTAGCTAGTCCGTGGAGCATGAGCTAGGCGATGTGTGCCTGCAGCCCCTCCACTTTCTTCTCCCCAGGGCTGCCCGGGAGCCCCACTGGGCAGGCAGACACAGCCCTGTTCTTGGTCTCAGCTCCAGGCCTCAAGTCCCAAGGCCCAGAAGATTTTTCCAGCCGCAGTCCAGGCAGCCCAGACTGACAGACTCTGTCTAGGTGACCTGGAGCTCTAGCCTCTCCCCCTTGTAACTACATGCAGTCATAGAAACACTGAAACATAAAAAAATAACTTAGAAGCAAAACACAGAAGCCCAAAAAAGTTCACAGCTCTATGCCTAAAAGCACAGAAAGGGTCACAAATTCTTAAAAATAGTCAGGTAGAAACACAGAGCAGATGCAAAGTAAGAAGCCACAAACACACCCCTAACTAAATACGGTGCTGTACGCATATAAATTCCAGGCAGACACAGGCATTTACTTCTCTGAGATTTAAAAATCAATGTCTTGTTGTAGATAGCTTTTTAACCCCTCTCAATAATGTCCTTCTAGAGGTAATTTTTAAATCCCAGGGAAATATAACACTATAGTTAGATAACTTAAATTCCCAAAATAACACTACTGTAAATGGGTTTTGAACAACTACCCGAGAAACGCGCCATTTTGGATTGACTTTTAAAAATGTCCTGAAGAATAATGTTATATATTTTAAATTCCAGAGAAATATACCTACTATAGTAATTCTTTATAAAAAACAGTTAAAATTTAAATTTATCCTCATAGATTTGGTTTTAAAAAGCAACCTATAACTACATATTTCTCTGGCCTTTAAAAATAAAAACCAAGCAAAGGCCATGTTTAAAACTTTTGAAAACAAAAGTACAGTCCAGCGTTGATTTTTTTTTTTTTTTTAACCAAGCAAACAGAACCTCTCAGAAAGTCACTTAGGGATGCAAAACAGAAACAAATAGAGATTAAAAACGCGTAGAGAAACACTCGGCGGTGGATTAAAAAATGAACGCAGAAGAGGAGCCCTCGGCCTGGGGAGCGGGGAGCTCGCCGGCGCCGCCGCGCTAAGGACGGCGAGTGCGGGATCTGATTGCGGACCCTGGAGGTCGGGCCGGGCCGGGGTCGGCGGAGCCACTGCTCACACCGCCCACCCAGCGGCCCAGCTTGGCCTGGGGGAGAAAAGCTTGAGTTCGGACTGAAAGGTAGCTCGGAGGGAGACGTGCCCCCAGCGGAGTCGGAGCCCTGGCCAGGCGGCCTGGCGGGTCCCGGCTCCCGCGGTGCACATGGGGCCGGGATCCCAAGTTTAGGGGGTCCTACCCGGAGCCGGGCCGCACCCCTAGGCCCGCTCTCCCTCGCTGTTCTCTGGCTGTTTTCCTTTTCCTTGAGGTTGTCCCTACCTCGACCCCAGTTTGCTTTTGTGACTTTTACCGCCACCCCTTCTCTTTGGTATCGCTTTCTCAATCTGTCACCCACCGTCGGGGTGTCTGTCCCCTTCTCTGTCTCTCTGGGTACTTTTTTCTCACCCTCCGCCCCATTCCCTTCTCGATCTGCTCCTCTTCTTGGGTCCGAGCGGCCCCGCGGCACCCAATTGCGCAAACCTAACTTTCCCGCCGCGTTCTACTTGCTCCTGATCAAGAGGGGCTGCCAGTCGCCCCTCGGGTTGTAAGTTCGTGCATCTGCCGGTCTCATGGTGCGTGGGGACTGCGTGGAAGTGCCTTCGTAAAGCACTGAATGTCCGCTTCATAAAGCGTGTAAATTTCCGCGTTCACGGTCAAATGGAGAATGGGAAAGGGAAAGGTCCTGACGGAGGCGCGGAGGCCAGGCCCTACTCCCCGCTCCCCGCGCCGGGGCAGGCTCCATGTGCGCCTCGCGGGCGCCGCGCTTACCTGGCAGCTCCGTGTCGGACGACTCGCTGGCGGAGTTCTCCAGCGGCTCACGGGGGTCGGCGGCGCGGGCTAAGTGGAAGGCGGGTCCCATGTCGTGCGGCGGTGGCTGCG